ATGTTCCCATGTAAAATTTTGATCACCTATTGAAGCTACAATCTTGTTCTTTGGACAAAGGCTTGAACAAATTGGAATATACACTATCTGGGGTTGCTAGAATATTATCTGAGTGATTGTGATACTGCTGTTCTTAAAAAGATTTATTTTTGGACATTTTTTGTTCTGATTACTAAGTCTTTGTAAAAAAAAATATATCATCACCTTGTTGAGGCTCAACCCATACATTTGAGGGACATGAATAGAAGAAACTAAATCTACATTACATCATGATTCTCTCACATCAATTTCATTTATTATAATCTTATTTTTGGAAGATTTTCAACTATTTCTATTTTTAACATATGTCTTAAAACAGATCTTGTATTGTTATCCAATTCTGGCTTTTGAGACCTTAATTTAAAAATATCTGAATCAACAAAACATTAGGATGCTTGCATATTCATTTGACTAATTGTATTCCTGTTGATCTTGAGAAGAGAATTTCAAATAAGATCTTCTTTATATCTTTGCAAGACACTGACATCCTATCGTGGCCATAATTTGATAAAATTTGAATCTTTACTGTAATGTAGAAGCTTATCATTTTTTTTACTTTTGACCTTGGTATTATAATAGTGGTTCTAAAGAAAACTGAAGTAAACATACGGACAGTCGGCGGACAAAGTACACTTGAGCCTTTGGCTCTGTTGACATGAAAAGAACATAAAATTAAAAGTTAATATTACCTATTAAAACAGTGGACAGTGAAACTGAGATTCCCAAAGTAACTGTAATAGTGGTGAGACCATGACGCAGATTATCTAATCCTAAAAAGTCTACGATTATAGCCGGAAACAAGGAGAAGTAGGTCTGTCCAAACAAACCATGCAACACAGAATATATAATCAGAGTGTAGAAGTCATCATAAAATCGTACGAACATGCAAGACAGTCCATTCAGTAGCATTGTTATGGCTAAAATTTGGTGCCGCTTCAAAGTTTTGCTATCAGCAATGAATGTCAGACCTATCCTATTGACAAGGTCACAAGCAGCGCAAATAGTGACTAAAAGAGCAATTTTTTCATCTGTCAATCCACAGTCACGTGCAAGTGGGGGTATATAATTGACAGGCAGACCAGCAGCGGAAATGTTCAGAATAGAACTCACCGTAAAGATGTAAAACAGTGGGTTTTTAAATAATGCAAAATTAAAAAATTGGTTAGCATTTTCGTTAAACTGTGTTTTCTCTTTTGATAGGCGACGAGTAGATGGCCCTCTTTTTTCAACTGAGGACCAAACTACCATAGTCTGTAGAGACGGAGATAAGTACAACTTTTTAAAATCCTCTTGTAGATCATGGGTACTTATAGCTGTTCTGTGAAGAAGGTTGGACACTTTGTTAGTTTCCATAATGTTTTCCGACTGTGTTCTTCTTCTACCAACCACTGGACCATCAGGTCTGTGTCCACAAGTCTTACTATTTGGAAGAGTATATGTTCCATTTGATTTTTCATACACATTCTGTTCTTTTGTGTCCTTATCAATTGCACTTTCTGAGTCTTCATCACCTCTGACATCTAACGTTTGAATTTTTCCGCCCTCTGGTGGTAAGGGCCTCACTAATGCCCCACAAACAATGGCTTGTAGGAACATTCCACTGACTATTAACAATGTTCCAGACAGTCCAAGATAGTCCATCGAGATTTTTAGTAAAATTGGCCAAAGTAATCCCCCTATGCTACCTCCAACGTTGGCAAAACTGTTTGCAAATCCTCTTTTTTTCTCAAAATATCGGGACAAAATCAACACAAGTGCAAGTTGTGACATTGCAACACCAATACCTGAATAAAAAAAAACGACAAAGTAAGATAGTTTTCATTTTCCCTCATGTTTTTTGTTCTGGATATTACGAAAGAAAAAAAACTTTTCTGTAGGGAATTAAGATTTGAAGCAGATTGTTTAATACTATCATAAAGTAGACCATTTGGTGTTAAGCAATAGACACAGACAGGTTCTGCTCATTCTGCTCACACTATCTATCTATCTATCTATCTACATGAACTATAGAAAGAAAACATTAACAATCTTAATTTACAGAGACAACACTATTCTCTGCATGAAAGTTTTAAATCTGATATCGTTTTATAAGTGCTGATTTTTGTTCGTATCAGTTATCATCCCATTTAACCACCAATTTCTATTCTTGGCAAGAGAAAACATTCGTTTTTTGAAGTTAAAAATTGTCTTCAGTGAGATTTTTCATTCTTTATCAAAGAGTTAATAGAGAGTGTTCGATGTCTTTTCTGGGTGTTGTTACAAAACATGAGCATCTATAAACTAGAGAAGGTTGCATGTACTTTATCGTGTAAAATAGTATAATAAAAATGAAAGGTAATCTTACTTCTAACTAATTGCATCTAAGGGTTAAAATTTCTACAAGTACAATATTTTTAATTTGCTCTTAGAAAACTCATGTTTCAAAGAGAAAAGGAAAATGGTTTGCTGGAATTTTTCATTCATGCTGTGGCTTTTGAGAGACTTTTATCAATTTAATAGCTGTCCTCTCTTAAAGTACTGGTTACAATGAAGTGTCAAAAGCGGGAACAAACAGATTTTCCTTGAAAAAATATACGAAATTTGAATACCAAAGATAACTCCTTGTGTTGCCATCAAAACCCCAACACTGGAAGCGAATGCGCTGCCAATTTGCGACACCGCCGTTAGGAAAGCACCAAACATGACTAATGTTCGCTCAGTAAAGAATCTGGTCCCTATTCCTAGAACAATGACCGCTAGAAAAATATAAAATATATACATAATAGAATAAGATAAGAAAGTGAATCTATGTTAATTTATTCTATAAATGTTTCTCAATAAAAGCACAGAAGTAATATCGATTTTTTAAAGTTAATTGTATACACTTGAGAGAGAGAGAGAGAGAGAGAGAGAGAGAGAGAGAGAGAGAGAGAGAGAGAGAGAGAGAGATTCTATGAGACAGAGAGAGAGATTCTATGAGAGAGAGAGAGAGAGAGAGAGAGAGAGAGAGAGAGAGAGAGAGAGGTTTACATGAGAGAGTGCTACTGATTGTCTGGATGGAGATCACTAGTGATATGCCAGAGGAAGTGGCGTCATATTTCTTCAAATACGCCACGAAAAATATCCCAAAACTTTTGACGAAGCCCACAAAGATAAAGAAGTGTACAGTAGAGGCTGAAAATCAAAAGCAATATGTTTCATGTCAATGAATTAAAACATAACTTTTCATGTTTGTAAATAGAATTTATTGTTACAAATCAGGAATTTTTAAACCTATGAATTTCGGAAATAAAAAATTATCATAAACTAGAAATACCTATATAAAAGTTGCATGTGTATTTCAAATTGAAATTTTAGAATATGAAATTCGTAATAGAAACTAAGAACAGTCATAATTCTAGAGAAGACTGAGCTTTCTTCCTTTCTTCCAAAGATTTTCTTAATTTAACGAACATACATGTATGTGAAAAAACCAAAAATAATGAAAAGAATTACATGTGTTTTCAGTTAAGTATGTGTTGAAGTCTTTGATAGGAATTACTTAATATCTCCGAACACACATAAATATCTGCTTCAGTTGTCGATATTGACACCGATATCTAATCAAGACTGATAAGGACTCCGAAATTGAAATCAATTGTATTCAAGGACAAAAGTATATGTGACCAATATATAGTTTGACTCTCGGAAACTTGAATAGTTACAACATAATAAATCGACATTCATAAGCAAAGTGTATACCAAAACTGTATAAATAATACATCTTATTTTAGGTTACTCATCAAATACACATACATGAATGTATTTGATTAAGATAACTTGAAAGTCAAACTCACCAGCTAGTACAACCCAGGCCCATCCTCTGTCAATAGGTCGTATCGTCTCTGCAGATGGCATCAATTATATCTTTAAAATAAAAATTAAACTTACTATGCTTCTCTCTTTATATATATATATATATATATATATATATATATATATATATATATATATATATATATATATATATATATATATATATATATATATATATATATATATATATATATATGTGTGTGTGTGTGTGTGTGTGTGAGGGTGTGTGTGTGTGTGTATTGAATCATCCTGGAGACAAAAACTCCATATGCAGGTGATAATTGCTACATAAATAAAGGAAGTTGACGGTAGAAAAGTTTAAGTCAACACGTTTATCATATTGTTTAGTTTTTAGTTTGCTATTAACGTCTTTCTCTAGCAAAATACCCAAATAAGAAAGAGACATGTCGGACTCTGTGGTGTCCGACGACGGTAGCCTAGTGGTAGGGCGTCGCTTTGTTTTCGGGAAGCCCGGGTTCTATCCTCGTTCGTCGCGTCAAACTTAGACGTAAACATAGGTAATAGGTAATAGTGACTGTTCCTTAGCCAAGCACCTGTCACTAGAAGTGAAAGTTATGGGTCTCTTGAATGAGACTTTAAAAACTGAGGTCTCGTCCACCTTAGGTGTTAAGAACCTTCACTGCACAATGGCACTAAGTGCTGATTATAGGTCTAAATTTGAAGTCCTTCACCTCTATATGGTGACGTCTGTATATGAGTGAAAAATTCTAGAATAGGACGAAAAACAATATATAATCAAACAATCAATCAATAAAGTTTAGGGAAATTAAGAGTGGCTAAAGGTCACATATTCTCATATTGCTTTGTACAATTTTGTAACAGTTTAACTGTACGGATCATTGCTTTCACCGGCTGTTCTGAGTGATTTAAAAGTCTCTAAATAAACATTTTGATTGGTGGTATTTCGCTTAAAATTATTTCTTAATGCTATGTTAATGTTTCTTATGTATGTATAGGAAAATAAGCATTTTTTGTTTCGATTTTTCGAAAGGAAGTTTGCAGTAGAAGTCACTTGAATCATCGGATTTTAAAATATTGCAAAATATTTAAATGGCCTGTCAATATGTTCTTATTTTCATTTCTGCTGTTTGACTGAAAGGAACAAAATGGCTGCTAATGCAGAAGCATGTTCTCTTAGAAGCGAAATCAAGTCCTCTGTTCATTTTGAGAACCGCTGTGATCGAGTGGCCATCTGGTATTGGTTTAATTATAATGGGGATTTAGTGAAATATGCCAGTTTGAAGAAAGGTGAATTTATCAAAATGAACACATACGTCAACCATCCCTGGTGCGCAAGAGACCGAGAAACAAATGAACGACTTGAAATCAACAAAGTTCCAGTGTATTATCCAACAGAGACACAAGACGGAACCGTCAACCCTGTGTTCATAGATATTCCAGGTATATATGAGTATATCTATTTGACCGCTCCGTTTGTTTACTTGTCAAATATGTTTTTTTGGCAGAATTAGGCAATACATTTGGGAAGAATTTGGGTTTTGCGACTGGTAAAAATTTGGTACAGTTTTAGGAGAGTGATTAGTGGGGGATTATGAATTCACAGTTGATGAAAATGAACTTAATATATATTGTCAAATATGTTAAGAGCGATAAATTCTACAAAGACTCTTTATCAGCTGAAAATTGATTTTTGGGTTGCAAAAAGTTTTGAAAATATGTATCTTAAATGAATAAAGCAGTTAAATATTCATTTTATTTTTCTGTGGTACTATGAGCATCATTAAATTTTAATTGCAGGAATAATGTAAATAAATCATAAAAATAAAAATACAGTTTCTGCTCCTGATGGTCATTCAAGAATACTGTCCAAAGAGAAGACGACATGTAGGATATGTGTGTTATATGTATTCCTGTACAGACGTCATGGGATATCGGGAAACACGGTTATTGTACTGGAAAAAGGAAACCAGATGCATTGTGTACTAAATGTATCTGTCTAAGATAAGGTTCAAAATATAGTTCAGTGGAGTTTCTTCATGCATGATTATGATTGGCTACCAAATATAGGGTTCAGAGATGTAAGGTGTTGATTACAAAACCGACAGCAAAGTCAAAACACGAAAGAACAATGTGATGCAAAAATATGTCACTAAGAAATCTCTCCATTAACTTTAAATGTATGGTTAGAATGAGTTTTTTGTGTTTAAATGTTCTTTCAATTATTTTGTCTGCTTTGTTACAAAAGTTAGTTTTAAAATGTATAAAACCGATTTATTTCAATATGAATTATCTATACACGATAGATATAAAGTTTGCATTCAATTTGTTTATCATTACCGTCTTAGAACATAACTATTTCAATTTGTAATTTTCTCGTGAAAATCAATGACATCAAAACTGTTCATGTGAAAATTCTATCTAACGAGTGAAATAAATTCCAAAAACAACTACAAAATATTGAATTTTCTGTTTATTACATTTTCTTTGATTTTCCCTCTGCCTCTGTCTTTTCGTGACACAGTGTCATAGGCTGTGACGTAAAAGATAAGCGGCTGAGACGTCATAGATTAGCAAATGTGAGAGTGAAAACATTGTAAACATAGATTTCAACAATATTTGAAGAAAGGTGGGAAGTTTTAGTCTCTATCAGGATGATCAATTTACTCTCTCTTTCTATAACAGGTCAGGGAGGATTTTGAAAATCTCGAGTTATAACGAATTTCTCATATTTGAGCTTGAATGCTGTTCGTTATCTCCATTTCATTCTTTCACACTGTGACAAAATATCACGTTGATATTCATTCACATTGTGATGAAATATCAATTTTATTCAATATATATAAATTACAGAACTTCACTGTTGAAAATTGTAAAAATAATGTTTACATATTTTTTTACAATACCTTTATCCCCGACTACGCAAATACCATAAGCGGAAATACACGATATGTTACTCTCTGGAATATTTTTAGCTCACTTAAGCCGAAGGCTCAAGTGAGCTTTAGTGTCCGGCGTCCGTCTGTCGTCTGTAGTCCGTAAACTTTTCACATTTACTTCTTCTCAAGAACCACGGGGCCAATTTCAACCAAACTTGCCACAAAGCATACTTGGGTAAAGGGGATTTAATTTTGTACACAGGAAGTGCCGCGCCCTCTTTCAAATGATAATTAAGAATTCGTGAAAAATTTTGGCATCTTTTAAAAATCTTCCTCTCAAGAACCACTGGGCAAAAAAAGATGACACTTATGTGAACGCTTTATTACATCCTATAGATTCAAATTTGTTCATATCATGACCCCGGGAGTAGGGCGGGGCTGCAAGAGGGGGTCGAAATTTTACATAGGAATATATAGAAAATGTCTTTAAAAATCTTCTTCTCTAGAATAGCAAAGCCATGATTAGTCATATTATAATAAAAGTATCCTCAGGTAGTGTAAATTCAAGTTTGTTCCAAGTTGATCCCTGGGGGTAGGGCAGGGCCACAACAGGGGGGTTAAAGTTTTACAAAGTTTTATATAGGTGTAGTTCTAATGGTTAAGGGGCATTTGAGTAAAACGCATTGAAGACCTCATATAATGGAATGACCTGAAAACCCTTGGAATGGACTAGCCAAACTAAAGGGTATATAAGGCAAAGCTTTGGGAATAAAGTCAGGTATTCAGAAGCTAGCTGAAGAAGTTGGAAGCTGAATCAGCAATAAAGAAGTTGAGGTATTCCATCCCTAATAGCAACAGATTCAATGAAATTGAATACATAACAGATGTGTAGGTGTTCAATACTCAGTATATTTAGGCATAATTCCATTTTATTACTATTAGCATGTAAGGGTGGGATGTGTCCCTAATTTATGACCTTGAATTTTGGTAAGGGTTATCTCCCTCTATTTTTAATTAAAATCAATTTTAAAAAAAACTTATCTGGTAAAAATCGTCTTCAATCGTCAATCTATTTCTAATGTTTTAATGCATCTTTCCTCCACAGTGTTTATTGATATTCTTATTATTTGAATATTTATTTTTAAAATAATGACTTGTCCCCATAGACTTCAATGCAATCTTTGCTAATTAATTACTGCTTAGTTAATTACATTTTTGAAACTTTCTCCTGGTAAATCCTTTTCTACTGTGAAATGTATTTTTTTTTCATAAGAAATATCTTTAAATTCTTCTTCTCAAGAACAGCTAAGCCATTATTATTAATTCATATTTATACAAAAGCAACCTTAGGTATTGTAGAATCAAGTTTGTACAAATCATGGGGGCACAACAGAGGGTCAATTAAGTTTTGCATAAGAAAAAAAATATAGGGAATCCTCTTGAAAATATCTTCTGCTCAAGAACAGCAAAGCCATGATTAGTCATATTTCTATAGAAGCATCCTATTTTAGTTGCTACCTATTTTTTTTTATCAACTTAGGTTAGTCGCGACCGGGGCTTGAACCCACGACCTTCCGATCACGGAACGAGAGCTCTACAGAATGAGCTAACGTGACAGTGAAAAACATCGGGAAAAAACTTTAAAATTCTTCTGTTTAAGTGCAGCAAAGCCAAGATTAGTACATGTAATACTGATATAGAAGTATCCTGAGGTAGTGTAAATTAAAGTTTATTCCCCTCCCCCGTTCAATACTGAACTGATTTCTGTTTCTTCCTAGCAATGAGCTCAGGTGAGCGATGTGGCCCATACGCCTATTGTTTGATTTGCTAGCTATATTTAGTATTGAATTTAACCATTGATTTTAGTACTACTGTAAATCACTTTTTATTCGGAAGAACTTAATTTTCGCGTAATCACGCGAAACGGTCTGCTAACGATAATTTCATTCCTACGTATATTATTTTTAATAGTATAGGTTTATAGCGCCGCCGAGCGGTAAACGGCTTTATTTATTCCCTCATTCATTAAATGGTAAAACAAAAGTATTTTCTCTGCCTTAAAAACGATCTAGTAAGTTTATTTAAGAGATGAATTTAATTTTTGAGAATTCATGAGGACATGAACTACGACACTTCACGCCGGTGTAAAGACGAATAATGACCCCCATAGAATAATGACCAGGGGGTCATATTTCAATATACAATTAATTACCCCTTATGCGGTCAACATGGTAAAATAAGGACCCGAGACCTGGCCCACGAGGTGACCTGACCTGACCGAGGCCGCGTAGCGGCCGAGGTCAGGTCAGGTCAGCGAGTGGGCCAGGTCGAGGGTCCTTATTTTACCATGTTGAACTCATAAGGGGTAATCAATTGTTTTATTATACCGATATAAGTTAAGGCAATTTTTGTAAGCTTAATTACTAAAATAATCAATTACATGTATAAGACCTACGAACTGTTGTCAGTGTTCCATCGGGATCGGGATTCGCTAGTGAAGTTGTTTACTTTTCGGCTGCTAGTCTTGTAAGTTTTTGCACCGCCGATTTATTAAAACACTCTGTGATTGTCAGTAACATTGCATTTTTATAAATTCACAGATACCATTCCCGACTACAATGACAATCTGGTGCAGACTTTTACTGTACAAGAGAGCCGAGTCTGCGTTCGTTGAATTTGACATTGTATTGTAACGAAAGTTAATTTCAATGAAAACGATAAATGTTATGACGCATCTAAAGGCCAATCGTGTTCCGTATCCTAAAAATACTATACATATTTTTATAACGGCAATTTTTGTAATGTACAATCATTACTGTATGCATATTTTTTTTAATTTGAATGGAATTTGGATTAATAGGTCATTTTTAGCGGTCATTAATTTTATTGACCGGTCATTATACCCCACGTGCAATGATTCCTAGGTCATTATTGCTGTAAACGGTACTTTTTGGAGTCATTATTGAGTTTAAAAGCCTTCTAACAAGCCAATCAAATTTGAGTATTCTTAATAGAGGTATAATAACGACAAATAATGACCCCCCAGCCGTAGAAAAAAATAATTTTTTGTAGAAAAAGAGACCTAGGGGTCATTATTTTATGTGTGCGTCCTATAAAAAATTGACCCCCGTTGAAAAATGACCCCCTTTCCAACAGAGTGCATGGTACCAAATTTATAACGGGTGACTGATGCCAAGGTTTGAACCTCAATGTTTGATATTCTTCTTTATGTCCTTTTTTGACCAACGCTGGACGAACGCGCAATTAAAATGCAATAAAACCGCATTACGTTTACCTGCATATTTCTATCTTTTAAGCCTATTGTGTTCTCAGCACATATTTAAAATCGCAAAATGTCTACTATTGGTTATAACTGTTAACGTAATTTCCCTTTATGACTGTCTTCCATTTGTTTCATATTTGGATATTTGACTAATTATAGACATTCATAGCTAAATTAAATAACAGACAAGCGGGATGTTCTGGTTTCTCATTGGTAAACATGTCTCCCAAAGTAATCAGCATGCTTTGAGTAGGATCAACTTTTTTTTTTAAAACAAGAGGCCCATGGGCCACATCGCTCACCTGAGTAACTTTGGCCATGCTGTTCTTTACCAGATTTCCCCCTATTAATACACCTATTGTGGCCCCGCCCTACCCCCGGGGGTCATGATTTGAACAATTTAGAATCTACACTACCCCAGGATGCTTCCATATAAGTTTCAGTTTTTCTGGCCCAGTTGTTCTTGAGAAGAAGATTTTTAAAGATTTTTCTTATATATTTCAATGTAAAACTTGGATTCCCTATTGTGGCTCCGCCCTACCCCCGGGGGTCATAATTTGAACAATTTAGAATCTACACTACCCTAGGATGCTTCTATATAAGTTTCAGTATTTCTGGCATAGTGGTTCTTGAGAAGATTTTTAAAGATTTTTCTTTTATATTTCAATGTATAAAACTTGGATTCCCTATTGTGGCCCCGCCCTACCCCCGGGGGTCATGATTTGAACAATTTATAATCTTCACTATCCCAGGATGCTTCCACATAAGTTTCAGCTTTTCTGGCCCAGTGGTTCTTGAGAAGAAGATTTTTTAAGATTTTTCCTATATATTTCAATGTAAAACTTGGATTCTCTATTGTGGCTCCGCCCTACCCCCGGGGGTCATGATTTGAACAATTTAGAATCTACACTACCCCAGGATGCTTCCATATAAGTTTCAGCTTTTCTGGCCCAGTGGTTCTTGAGAAGAAGATTTTAAAAGATTTTTCTTATATATTTCAATGTATAAAACTTGGTTTCCCTATTGTGGCACCGCCCTACCCCCGGGGGTCATTATTTGAACAATTTAGAATCTACACTATCCCAAGATTCTTCCACATAAGTTTCAGCTTTTCTGGCCCAGTGGTTCTTGAGAAGAAGATTTTTAAAGATTTTTCTTATATATTTCAATGTATAAAACTTGGATTCCCTATTGTGGCCCCGCCCTACCCTCGGGGGTCATGATTTGAACAATTTAGAATCTACACTATCCCAGGATTCTTCCACATAAGTTTCAGCTTTTCTGGCCCAGTGGTTCTTGAGAAGAAGATTTTTTTAATGACCCCACCCTATTTTTGCTTTTTCTTGATTATCCCCCTTGTAAGGAGACTTGGCCCTTTATTTTAAGAATTTACACTCCCCTTTACCCAAGGATACTTTGTACCAAGTTTGGTTAAAATTAGCCAAATGGTTCTTGAGAAGAAGTTGAAAATGTGAAAAGTTTATAGACGGACGGACGGGCGGACAGACAGACAGACGACGGACAACGGGTGATCAGAAAAGCTCACTTGAGCTTTCAGCTCAGGTGAGCTAAAAATGAAGGGAAAAAAAGGAATGAGATAAGTTTTCAGAAATAAATACGGAAAGTTATGCAATGCAGTATATATGTATATTTTGAATGACATAAAAAGTCGTGCAAATGAGGTAGAATGTATCGAAAATGACGTAATACTCGTGCGAACGACATACAGTGGATATATATATTTCTTAATGACAAAATGGTGAAGATAACGAACATTGATGATTTAAAAAATATCTACAAGCAGTACAATTTTGTTTGGGGCATAAAAAAGGACCCCCGAAAATTGCAGAGGTGGGATCAGGTGCCTAGACAGAGTAAGCATCTCCTGTTGTCCCGTCACTCCCGCCGTGAGCGCTATGAATAAATCAGGTAAACGGGACATTCCGTTGTCGAATTTAGTATAAAAACAAAGGCCAAACAATTGACCCAATTATAGGTTTATATTTGTTGACAGGGTAATTGATACGACCATTGAATCTACGAAATGCTGACATTAAACGAGGTTGTTGAAACCCCTGTAACATTAACTTACATGTATCTGTCAGTAGCCTGTCTCGATTTAAAAATTAATCGTGCTCTTGGGTATCGAATAAATTGGTAGATGTAAAAGTATGCAAATGATTGCAGAATATTACTTCATAAATAAGGAAAATTGACAATAGAAAAGGCTGAAGTCATCCCCTTTGTCAGACAATTTAGTTGTTAGTTGGTCTTTATCGTCTATAGTCAGTAGAACGTCCACATATGAAGCAGACGTGACAAACATAAGAAGGACATAAAATTTCTGCATGTTTGAAATATATACAATCTTATAATGTGCATTCAATTTTATTTATAAACAGTGCATGGTCTACTGTATGGGAATTTCTTTTCAAGTATATAGAAGTAATACAGGGGAATCCCAGTATAATGTACATTAGAATCTGTTAACATGGTCGTCTGAGAATAGGATACATACATGTATGAGGAATATTTTTTAATCCACTTTAAAACAGTGATACATTTGTCAAATCAATATGGAAACATTTTCAATACAGTGTATATTGAAGTAGATTAATGTTTTCAATTTATAATTAAAGACAGACTTTTTTATTGACCTTCAAGGTGAATACATGTATAAGGATTTATTTTTCCTACATTGAACTAAAAATAGATTGAAAACAATTCTGAAGTGTTATTTCACCTGCGTCTGAATTCTACTCAAGTGAACATAATATTCAAGTACAAAGAATCGGAGAAGAGAAGGATATTGTTTCCCCTTTTTTGGATGTAAATTTTAGCAATTTCTAATTTGAAAATGTTCATTGAAAGTCTTGTAACCACCCTCTCTTTCTTATACAGTATAGTTAAAAAATCTCTCCTACTTGAGTGAACAAGATGAACATAACATTCAGGCCCATAGAATCAGGGATGTGGTGTTCATCCCCTTCCATTTCCATGAACGTAATTTTTTTTTCGCTTGAAAATGGTCATTGCAAGTCTGGTTGTCCTTCCCCCAACTTTGGGATACAGTAGAGTAAAAGAAAATCCCACTTACATCAATAAACTTTTTTGAGGGGTTCATCAAAGATATTTTAAACTAAAAGTATTTTTTGCCTCTTATAATGCACCATTTCCCCTTTCAATGCTATGCCTGAAATTTATTTTTTCTACATTGCATCAAAACTAGATTTCAAATGCAAAATTAATACTGGTTATGCTTATGTTAACTCCTATTCTTTCAATGTGTTTGGTTAGGACTTGAGCAAATGTTAACAAGAAACTTGTCATGTCTGCTTAATCAGTTTGTATCAATTTAATCGTTGAATCATATAATAAAACAATTATTGCTTTTTTTCTGTCAGGACGATCAGTGGTTTTCCACCATCGAAAAACAATGCTCTCCTCGCCCTTTGGACTCGATAAATCTTTAACTCCACTTGATTCTGAATCATTGAATTGACCTTAAAAACAGCAATGATTGTATCATGTAATGAGATCAATATATCATCGATTTATTCCCAAAGAATCTCAAGTGAACATTTTGGCCAACAGGTCTCTTGATTTATTATTTTTATTTTGCCCCCTAAAAGTTTCAACTTTAATCCGCTTTAATTCACAAGGGGTCATTATTCTACGGGAGTCATTTTTCTTCACGTGGGGTATGCATGTTTTTAGGGTGATGACACTTTTTCTACGGGCAAAAGAACATATCTTATATTTACATTATTTTTCTGATGACTTGCTACATATTTCTGTTATTCAACGATCATTTTTTTTTTAAAAGTTTGCACTATTTTTTGACTTCAATTACATCGTAATGGAAATATTCTTACTCATCCCACGGTAGTTCAGGATAACATGAACTTTTTTCTAATTTGCAAAGAATCTTAATGAAAACTTTTTGGAAATGTAAATATATACCATTTATTTACAGAGCGAGGTGCCCGAAAAACACATCACAATTAACAACAATAATCCTTCAAATCTTTTGAACGTTCTGTTATTACATAAATTCGAAACGGCACAGTGACTGACTGACACAAAATTTGTCCCCATTTAAATACCCGAGGGCGGATGCTTATAAGGAGTATCACTTTAAAAACAGAAGAATTACGTAATAAAATAACCGATCCTCGCGAGGAGCATCCAATACTATCTAAAAATAATTATTGAAACAATATGATTGACTTTTAGCATAATACTAAGTAAACAAAACATTTTTTCAGGAAAACTTAATCACTGCAGGTTATATACAAGAATACCCAGAATTCGTGAAAATTTTTTAACTCGCTTATAAATACATGTACCAAATACCTATCTCGCGAAAATAAGGTGTTGCGAAAATTTGGTATTTAAAAAAATGCAATTGTTGGGCTTATACAAAACCAGAACGCGTATCACATCTTATATTACGTCCAATGAACCCTAACTCCGTCACCAGCGCCCTCTTCAATATGTCAATGTATTGATTAGATTTTTTTCCAGTTTAGTTTTTTTAATCCATTTGTAGATTTTCAGCTTGCAAAAATGACGTCACAGTTGCATTCGTTTACAAACAGAGTGGAGTTTCCCGTAAGTGACGAAGTTAGGGTAGTGACGGAGTTAGGGGGTTTGGTGATACTGAAAGTAACTCATATATTTTGCTGATTCCCTGAAGACTGATTTCCTGCCATATGATGTGTCAGTTTAATGAACTGATACACACCTATTCGGAACATGCAGTAATTTCTTTTAATCGTAAAGATTTTAGATATGTTCTAAATAAACTTGAATATTCATTTCTTAGCTCAGTATGGAGGCGGGGCTTAATTTGTATGGGAAATAAGTGACTTGTTATTGTGACGTTATGATGCAGTGAGAGGTTCATCATGTTACTTTTTCATAGCAAAAGCTGCTTTTATTTAAGGAATGTTTTTAAGTTTTGTGTGATTTATTGGTGTGTAAATCACACAGACTTGTCACGTAGGCATATTTCATGAAGCGCGCTAGCGCTTCATGAAAAATATGCCTACGTGCAAGTCTGTGTGATTTACACACCAATAATTCACACTAAACTTAAAAACACTCCTTATTTTTACATTTTACATGTTCAAAAGCACCAAAAATATACTCAATATTTGAATCATTCCCTGCCCTATATCGTTACATTTTTATTAACATCTCTAGCCTCATTGTGACGTCACTTTAGCGCGAGTTTCTCCGTGCATATTTCTACGCGTGAGTATACACGAAAATGACATTCAATTCAATTTCACAGTTGGCTTAGTAGAAAAACACAGCAAATGTAAATATAATCATCTATTCCTTGCAATATTACCTTTGTCAGACATTGGTAAAGTTCTTAAAAGAAACTTCTGTCCTATTAGAGAATGTACATGTACTTTTATCACAAAAATACCGAATTTTCCATTGCGCATCTTATAATTGCACTTCGTAGGCCTATAAAATAAAATTGCAGTTGCGAGTTAACTGGTCTAGTTTTTGTCACTGAGGGAGTCGGCAAGATTCATGTTCCCCCCTCGAGCAAGCCTATTTCCCCTACTTCGCCTCGGGAAATATGCCTTGCTCTCGGGAAACTGGAAGCAATGATAGACTTTAACTGTATATTAAAACATCTTGAAAGTTATACATTATGCAACAATTAATCATTTTTAATGAATTCTGATTTCATAATATCATAAAAAACTTTTGATTTATCATAGTTTCTCCTTTTTAATTCTTGAGTTCGATTTTTAGAAGCTCAAAATATCAATAATCTAAACAAATAAATGATAGACATGTAACTATCCTATTTCAGTCTATTTCTAGGTTCATACTGGACTGATACCTAAACAAGAGACGGTTATCAATTAATTCCGGTCATATTCGCTTGAATATGGTCATATTCGCTTGAATAATATGGTCATATTCGCTTGAATATAAGCGCCGATAATGAAAGGGGTAGTAGGGCAATTGCATTATCTGACCTATTAAGGATTGTGTAGGTTTGACCTCGATCGGCTCTAATCCAGATTATTCAGTGGTTTTTAAATGTTTGTTTGCGGGTTTTAGCAACACCGCAGTGGATTTTGTTTACGTTACATGTATGTTGGTAATTAAACAATAAAGACAGGGAATTAAATATTCTAGCTTCCTTCTATTTATAAGTTAAAAAATCATGCATGTTTGTTTATTGAACAATAGTAAACGCTATACTTTGTAAAGGTCGGACTACGTGCAGTGATGACCGTAATCATCTTAAGGCATACATCGATTGAAACAAGAATGTAAAATGGCTGGAAATCAAGATGAAGATGTCGGTAAATCGACAAAAGAGGAAGGAAGCAAGGAACCACGTTCGTTAAATAATGACATTGTTACTTATGTCCGCTTTAAAAATCGCTGTGACAGAATCGCCACGTTGTTCTGGTTTAATTTTAAAGGAAACTTGGTAAGGTATTCCATTTTGAAGAAAGGAGAGTTTATCGATATGAACACATACGTAACACACCCATGGTGTGCAAGGGAAACTGTGACAAATGATCGACTTGTTATCGACAAACAACGTGTGTTTTATCCTGCAGAAGGAGAAGATTTAACGTACAAACTTGTGTACATCGACATTCCAGGTACACTAGTCGTAAATTGGAAGTAGCTTATGAACGATAACTCTAAATTGTTTACAACATAAAGAAAAGCTAATATAAACATGATAAAGGCATATTTACTAGTAGAATTAAGAGAGGATGAAAATTAGCATAATTGTTGTTAACATTTATATATTCCATCAGCTTCTTGTTTTATTATTTCACTGCTGTTTTCATAAATGTAAATCTAAGATTCACCTTTGTTTCACAGTTTATTCTTTGAGAGAGCGATGTAAACAGATTATATGGAAAGCATATCCTGACACTGACCCAAAGACACTGGATATACCAAGAGTGCTCACTAAAGAACTGGACACAAAGAAATCTGTATCATACACTGACTATGAAGGCTTTCACCAAACATGATTTTGTTACGTAACTGAAAAAATTGGGTAAAATGTGATATATATATTCCTTGAATGTTAAGGCTACTGTAACATCAAGGCCATGTCACATTTTATTTTTAAAGGAATCCATTCTTCATCTCATTAAGTTGATGTAATATAACAAAATGTCATTTGCAAGAGCATGCCAATGATATGCATGTATTCATTTACAGATTTATCTTTCAGTGTTTATAAATAATGTTTTATCATAATCATTGTCAAGAAATCCAAGTGCATTTACTCAATGTTGATACTCAAATCAGCAAAAATGTATAGGTTTTATTTTGTATGTAGAAAATAATAAAATTATATTAAGGACAGATGATACCATTTTTTTCCCCAAAATTTATGAATGTCATGAATGTAACGCGTAAAACCATGCTTATAATCAAATAGGTAGATTACAAACAGTAATCAAGCTCAAAAGTCTATCGAAACAATAGAAATCATGGGCAGTGCAAACGCAGACCTCTAAAACATCAGAGGTGGGACAAGGTGCTATGGAGGAGTAAGCATCCCCTGTCGACCCGTGACACTTGCCATGTGCTTCTGGTCATGATCGGGAAAACGGAAAAATCCGTAGACAATGCAATGTGCAAACAATGGCCTGACAAATAGAAAACGTCAGTAGGCATTCTACTTAATGATATATAATATTTGCTGATAAGGTCATTGTATCGACCATAGAACTTGCGAAATGATGAATTCAAACGAGACAGTTGATTTTCTTGTTTCATGAGCTTGTTTGTCAATAGCTTGTTTCGTTTTAGAATGTGCATGCACTTGCCCATCGAATCAATTGGGAGACATAAACACCATATGCAGGTGATAAGGGTATATGGCTACATACATGAAAGTAATGGAAGTTGGCGATAGAAAACTTGAAGTCATCACGTTTATCATAAAGTTTTGTTGTAAAGTTTAACCGCATAGATTTTAATATTTCCTTCAAAGTTTCTCAACAATGTCATAGAGAATTTTAAAAATTGTATATATATGTTTTTTAAAGGTGATGGCAAAAAGGTAGAATTTTAACATCATAAAAAAATTACAATTTTTTAATACTTTAGAAATTTTATATTTGTTTCATTTACAGTCAAAATAGGTCCAAAAGTATATATCAATCCGGACATCCTTTATATCAATCCGGACATCCTTTTTTGTTTGAATTATAAGTAAATTAAAAAATAATGACCATGAAGAAATATGAAACAATAAAATTCATTTATGGCAAGTTTTTAATATTTTCAAGACTTTAAAACATGGTTATTTGCAATGTTTAATATGTATTTATTGTATTTAAAAATATGTGTTGTGACGAAAACTTTTTTCTGAATTGACTGTAAAATGTCCGTAGTTTGTTGATAGACATAATGTTTTGAACTTCAAATAGTATCAAACATTTTTTCAATTGCGCCCTGTTATTAGCAGACCTTTTTTTTGTATTCATATGAAGCAGAATTTGTGCAAAATCTTACACGTGAAAAGAAGAAAACACTTGCTGTGGCCTTCAACTCGACATTTAGATATATCGACGACGTATTGTCAATTAACAATGGTTATTTCCATTCTTATGTCGATACGATATATCCCGGTGAGCTTGAGATAAAAGATACTACAGAGTCTGATACATCTGTTTCATATTTTGATATTTTACTTGAAAAAGACTTTAATGGTAATCTAACAACCAAGCTTTATGATAAACGTGATGCTTTAACTTTTCAATCGTCAACTTCCCTAGCTTACTTATGCAGCAATATACCTTCATCACCTGCATACGGGGTTTATATCTCTCAGTTGATTCGATACGCAAGAGCATGCTCTACGTATGTACAATTTCTAAAACGAGGTAAATTATTGACAAACAAGTTGATGAAACAAGAATATCAGCAGTCTCGTTTAAAGTCATCATTTCGTAAGTTCTACGGTCGATACAATGACCTTGTCAGCAAATACAATTTATCATTAAGTCAAATGCTGACTGAAGTTTTTCATACTAATTGTTAGGCCATTATTTACACACTGAATTGTCGACGGATTTTTCCGTTATTCCTGATCATGACAAGGAGCACACGGCGGTTGTGACCGGTCGGCAGGGGATGCTCACTCCTATGACACCTGTTCCACCTCTGATGTTTTGGAGGTCCGTGTTTACTGTGCACCTATTTTGTAATGTTTAATGGACTTTTGAGCTTGAATACTGTTCGTTATATCCATATATTTCATTTTTCAATTTATTCTTTAGTAAAAATGGATGAAGATCATTGATAATTATAAAACAGTTTTGTTGCACTCCGCACAGCAGTAAAATTATAAATTGAAACCGTAAAAATAATTCATGAAGAGTTGGCAACATCAAGTGGAAACAAGATTGTGCAATATTTATAGTCCAATACTTTATAATAACACATGAAAGTATTTAAATTTGGCTTTATATCTTGAATGATTCCCTATATATGTATTTAAAAAAAAACTAGCTAAAATATATATATTTAGAAGATAAAATATAAACAGGACAAACACTGTAAGCAACTATGCTCAACCAGAAACATTCTACTCATCATTTTTTTTGTTTATATTTATTCATACATGTATTTGATCAGCAATAATTCTAGCATATTTGTTGCACTCCTAACCAAGAGCACGGGGGTCTTTGAAGTAGAATTGTGAAGCGAAAATTGTATCAGAATTTGTTCTGTTGTTTCGGTAAAGTTGAGGTGGTTTATAACAATTTTTCAGTGTTTTTATTTTTAAATTCATAAAAAAAAAATCAAAGAAAAGCTTAAAACACATATAAATTGATAAAATTGAAAATGAGAAAGATTTTAATAATAAAACTGTCAATAATTTAGTACCAGATTATGCAAATAGATCATTATTAATGAAAGAATATTTCTTAACATGAATAGAAGTCTTTTCTTAATATAACTCGAGTCTATAAAAATGTTTGTACTCTTGACCATAGAAATATTAATCTGAAACACAGACAGGCCCTGTAATTAATAAATCTATTTGGCAAAAATGTTTTTCGTGTCTTTGTTTTCCAAAATAAAAATCAGAGAATCATATACTTATAAAAGTTTTTTTTTCATGCTGGGGAGCAAAATATCAGATGTTTGCACTCCTGATATTATTGGGTATGCACAGATAACTCTAATTAATGCTACTTGTAATTTATATAACATTTGTAAGTTTTAAATTGTATATCATTTATTGTTTTACACTTTGAAAATTCTTTTTTTGATTTAATTGTCTTTCAGATTTTTAAAATCCATGTTTTTTGGCAACACTACATTTTTTCTGTTGCACTCTTGACATGGTATATCATTTTTTTCAACATCAGCCATGACCACAACTTGGTCAAACAAAAGTTGGTACAGTCTACATTTAGGCTTTATATATTAATTTAACGTCTTTATTTCCATCATAAACTATTATTATTTATTTCACAGATCTTAAAAAAATATTGAATTTTCAAAACGTTACAAAAAGGCGTTGCATTACTTACATTTTTAGCATCATTTATGGGCATAACTTTTGTGAATTGAGATATCAATGATATGTTTGGCAGGTATTTAGACACTATCTAAGGACATATGCTGAGACATAGAAATTTATTTCCATTGCCTATATTTTTTGTGCGGATTGATAAATATTTGTTTGGTCATTTTTTTAATTCACCTTTATCATTCCTTAATATTATCAGAATGTAAACAGTACCAATTGGTGCATTCTTTACAAATGGAATGTTGCATTAGATTGTTGAATTCGCAATTATAATTATCTTTATAAATTTATTAAATATTTAGCACAGATACACAGACAAATAAACAAGTATTACTGATCATTAAAGCTGAACATCTCCTGTACATGTAACACATTCAGTTCAGTTTGGAATAGGATTCATTTAGAGAATCTTTTAAATTGTAAATATTTATCTACATTGCTTATTCGTTTTAATTGCTGCGTACCTTGATTAAAGGCTTTTTAGTTTGAATAATTATCTGTGCATTGCTTATTTGTTGTCATTCCTATGTTACCTGCAGTTGTCCAATAAGTTTAAACATATGAAACACATACAGGTAACCTACTGGATGAAAGAAAAAAAATCCATAGACGCTTAAAGATCTTGTAATTGCAGAATGTCAGAAGATATTAGGTAATTTAAAGCTGTGTTATAACAATTAAGGATTTTACGTCGACTTCATAAATGATCAATGATCGTCTTTGACCCTTTGGCTGATATGAAATTTTTGCCAGCCTATGTTGTGAGGGGATATGGTCAGCTTAGCTTGTCAGTTGTGTTTTGATACCCACACCCAGAGCGCATTCGAAACAACAACCCCAACGCTTCTACCTCTTTTAAACCATACTTGGCTTTTGGGTGAATTTAAAAAAAAAAAACAACAGACACGTGTTTATCAACCTGCATAGAAAATACAGGCGCTGTGAATAAATATTCCCATGGTTTAGCATATGTCTTTGATACTGGCTAAATTCCTGCCAAATATATCATTGACATTTTTAGTCACAAGAAAGTTATGCTCAAAAATGATGCTACAAAAGTCAGGAGTCCAACACGTCTTCATGACATTTTGAAAAATGAATATTTTTGAAGATCTGTGAAATAAATAATAATAGTTTATGTTGGAAATAAAGATATCTTTCTGATGAATAAATTGTATTGAGCTTTTAAATGAGACTCTAGTTACTTTTGTTTGACCAAGTTATTGTGGTCATAGTTGAGGCTGAAAAAATTATACAATGTAAGGAGTGCAACAGAAAAATTGTAATATTAAAATTGTCAAAAACATTAATTTCAAAAACCTGCATGACAGTCAAGTCAGAAAAGAATTTTCAAAATATAAAACAATAAATGATACATATATATCATTTAAAAGTTAAAAAATATTATATGAATCAAAAACAACATTGATAAATTAAGTCAGGTATCTGTGCATACCCATTTATGTCAGGAATGCAACATTTGATGTTTTGCTCCCCAACATGGAAAAACTTTTTTCAGTATATGATTCTTTGTTTTCTATTTCGAAAAAAAGACACAAAGAACATTTTATCAAAAAAATCTATCAATTACACGATCTGTCTGTTTTTCAGATCCATATTGTGCAACGCTTTTTTTTAAAGGTCTAAGTTCAACAAAGAAATGACTTCTATCATATTAATAAGTAAATCTTTGATCAACGAGGATCAATGTGAATAATTAAGTACTAAATAAGTAACAGTTATATTATTGAGATCTGTCTCTTTTTCACTTTTATCAATCCAGATGTTTTTT